GCACAGTGGAAAGCTGCTTCAACGAATGGAACAACCCTTCTAAAAATTCCTGCTTGGGCACAAAATTTGTGTCCGACTTGCCAGTCAGCTCCGTCCGCGACATCACGATGCACCACCACACGATAATGACAACGGTATGAAAACCTACTTGAGACTTCGACTTGCAACCGTCGACTCCACTACCAGCTACAACAAGTTCAGTGGTGCTGAACGCCGTTGCGGCAACAACGACGAAGAACAATAACTAGTCAACGACCAACGCGCACGCGACGCCCTCCTACACAGCTTCGGGTGTACCCCACAAAAAGACCCACTATGTCCATGATATCACTTGATCACCTTGCTTTCCACGTTTCAAAAAGGTGCTAGATAGCGGAGCGGTCTACCTGCCGCGAATATAACTTTTGTTCACAATCGCAGTCACAATTAGTAATCTTGAGTATATAAATCGAAATTTCGAGCATGTGTATTTCATTAGTGATTGAGATCCTCTGCCTACTCTACTTCCACCTGCTCTTTGCGACACAACACGGGTAAGCAATTATTAGACACAGGGTACAGCATGGAGATGTGCGAAATGAATACGACCCCACTCCCTCGAAGAGGGTCCACCTACGACCCCCCCCCTCCTGCTCTAACTGGCAACCAGATGCATATTCACCACAAATGGCTTCCTGAAATGGAATATGGATTTTCGAAAGGCGGGCCCTGCTCTAAAATCCAGGTAATAATAGGTTGTTTCAGCCTCATGCAATATGAGGCTGAACAACAGCCTCGCATTACCTACAGTTTCGTCTAAGGATTCAAAATAAAACTCGTTGTTCGACAACCATGAATGACATGCAACGTGTAACAAGGAACACAATCGAAACAGCGACTAATAGTGATCACCGATAAGCTAAAAAATAAAAAAATAGCCCCAAAGTCAGCGTGTCAGGCCTCAGATGTGCATTCAATGAATGGTGAGGGGGAAATCATGAAAACATGCACAACAAAACAAAGCGAAACAGCAAAAATACAAAAAAATACGAAATGAAAAAAATGGATAACCATGCGACTGTATATCGTTATACTTGGCTATTCTCGATCGCAACCGGTTGCGACCGCTTTCATAGGGAAAACGTCATTGGAGCGCGGTTGCTGGCCTACCAACGTCCTGTGGTCTTTTCGGGGGGGGGGGTATATCTTTTTGAGGGGCGCTTCTTTTGATGAATGGGTAGCAGCATGCAACGGGAATGTTCCTACTGTTGCGTCTTCTGCCCAGTTGCAATCTAAATGTTTCCCCGTTCGTGAAATATTTCAGATGGGTTTCGGATCGGCTAGGGGTAGATGGCAAGCGGGTTTTTATGCTTCACATGAGGATTACTTATTTCAAAGGCAATTTCATCAGGATTAAAACCGTCTTGAAACCGCCCTATCTTTTCTCTTTCCAATAGGGTTTACAGTTTTCCTGAAGACCAGCTAGTTCAGGAGATATTTTAGATGGGTCACAGACAAGCTACCCTCTGACTCACTCAAAAAATCGACTCCTTCTGTGCCATTGTGAGGATAAAACTTCGGAAACTTCAGTATGCCTTCAAAGCACATAATTTCCTTCAAATGAGTGAAAGAGGAACTCGGCTTTCACTAATCGATTTGGTCCGAGGGTGCGCCGTGCATTACGCTCCTACGCGGAGGTGGTGGAAAGGTGTAAACTCTGATTTCAGGTGCTTTTATCCATGCAAGCAGATGTTTGTTTAGGGTTTGGAAAGAATAATACGCATGAATCTGTTTGAGACGTATTATTTAGTCATCTACGTACTTACGAGTTCATGCTATTAACTGATATTTATTTACTTATTTATTTATTCCTGCTATATTGCTAATCAATTTTTTAATATTTTGTAACCCTCCTTACATCCGGGTCCTCTGCAGCTTTCCGTCCGTTCCATCAAACTTAGCACTGACACTTTTGTACTGTTTGATGCCTAGGGAGCCTACTTTTGCGTTAGACTCCACGTTCCCCGCGGCCAAGTACGAACTTATTTTTGGGGATTTCTCATGAAAAGAGGGCTGTTAAACGTAGCAGTTAAATCTGTGAAGAATAAACTCATAATAATTTTCATTTTTTAAACATCTTGGCCCGGCTCTGAGTGACCCGTGAGAATACGACCCCTCCCCCTTCCCAGCGGCCAAGTACGACCCCCTATGGGTTTCGCCAACGATGCTGTACCCTTAGACAAGCGGTATTTCTGGCGCACATTACGGACTGCCTGATGTGATAAAGCAATGCGAAATGGTCTACTGCAGTAAATCACTTCGACGTAGTGGTGGTCTCCTTACTTTTCTTATGTGAATTTCTTTATTCTTTTGGTGATTCTGTCGCACACTTCAAATGTGCATGAACCTTCTAGTTGGCTACCTTGTTAACACTATCCCTCATTCATCTTTAATATCGTCATTCCACGATATTAAAGATGAATGAGGGATAGTGTTAACACCCCGACCTGTTCACTTTTCCACTGTATTATCATCTCGTTCTCGTCGTTCTCGTCCTCCAATTGTTTTCTTAGCAGTGAGACTGATTTGGAATTCTTTTGATGTCCTGCAAGTGAAAAAACAGTAAGCAGGATGAAACAATCTAACCTATTCTTGACCTGTTAGTCAAAGATTTGCTGAAAATCATGAACAACTCCAAGAAGGCAATAGGAGAAATAGTGGCAGCCGTCAAAAACTGCAACAGAAGGAATGGCTGTTCGTATGTTGCGTGCATCACACAGGAAATCCTGTGGAGCTTCAAACCGATAAGATATCCTCACACTGCACCTTTGACATACCCCAACCACCTTTATAGACTTAATGCGATTAATCTCTCCATGAATATCTTTTTTGTTCTAAACATAATAGGGATTACTATTTATACAGCTCCAATTTATGATTATGATTTATTACCGGCTATCAACACAAACAGAATAACACTGATTATATAGCTTGTTGACCGATAAAAAGGGAGATAGAACAAAAAGTGAAGAGTGCTAGATATAGGGGAAGCCCAGAGCAGTGGCCCGCCATCACTGCAACTGAAAAGGGAGCAGAAGAGATATTATACAGTACGGAAGAACAACAAATAGAAAGGAAGCCCAAGGACAGCTTAAAGCAAAGACAAGCCAACATATAGCGCAACAGCAACACATGCAACGAACTGAGAACACAACAGAAGAACAGTGCAATTTTCCTTGGGCTTCAGTATATAGTCAGGCCTTGACTCAGTGCCAGCCCTGCTTTTTGAGTAGCCCACTAGTCCTGTCCTTGAAAGACCTAGACGACATCGAGTTAACCACCTGGGCTTGCAGACTATTGTAGAAAAAGATAACTCTCTGCGAAAAAAATCTCTTTATAAACACTCAAACGAGTCTTTTCTTCTCCCAAGTTCATGCTCCCAAGTTTTTGGTAATAGGGAGCTTGTTTAGCTCCCAACTTTTTTTTTCGTTTCACGCGCATTTTATGCCCCACTCCGACTGTGTGCTAAGGGAATGAGTTCGCTATTCACCAAGCCCGTAAAACCTGTTACCTAGAAGAATACTGGCAAGAAATGAAGTAAAGATCACCTCTTGTTCACTTTATCGACTGTCACCCGTCACCAATGTCTAGATCATCCTTTAGATCTGGTAGAGTGAAAGATGTGCAACCTTGAATGAAGAAAAATGACGGCGGCAACGTCCTTGTCAACCCCTGCCAGCTGTTATCCCTTCCTCCCACCCATCTGTTGAGTCGTTGGAAGGTATAGGGCAGTAGAATAGGCAGGAATATTTATTAGAACACATAACCAACAGAAAACGCTGGGTTTATGTAGTCACTTGAGATCATTAATTAGGCGCGAAAAGTAGTACCTAATACGGTAGGTAACAATCAAAAGTAAAGTTCATGGTGGGTCAGTAGATCAATCCAATATCTCACACCATCATTATATCCCCTCACTTCCCTTCTACCACCAGTTGGAACCAGCTTCCTACTGTTACTACGCCGGGCGCTATGGAACAGGCGACGCTTTTCCCTAACAGTTTTCCTTAGTGCCACTCATCAGTTATGTCCCTGTCAGATAGCCTGAATCACATCTTGGAACCAACGTTGCAAGCTGCTAGGACCGGTGGCCCTCGCCTTTTCAACAAATCTCATTAACTTTAATAACTTCCTGTCACCCATAGGTGATGTTCCCGTCGCACCCCTTATTTAACTCTTAGAGACCACGTTTATATTGCTCTGAATGGCGCATAATGAGTATTCCGTGACGCTCCTTTCCTATGCCACCTCATCGGCACTTATCAGTTGATGTCACCTTCTGTCATCCACCAATAATGTTCGTGTCGTAACCATTTACTTTGCGGCTAAGTCAAAGGAAGTTATGAGTTTGCTGTCGAACACACACGTACACATTAATCAAATAGAAAGAATAAGAAATAGAAAGAAACAGCATATCATATATAGTAGGATATATCGATTATGTTTATGGATTAGGGATTAGCCGATTTCTGCCTTTCAATTTCCATTTACATGTAGGGCGAGGTACGACATGAAAAAACACGGTGCGGTCACTGGTTTGAATGTTAGCTCTCATTTCGCACTCGTTTCCGAGTTCACATGTGGAATCGGGTTAGTATATTCGGCTGTGCGGTCAATCTAGGTACTGTATTGCTACTAGACGCGTTCCAAAAACCTTTTAAAATGACCCGGCTTTGTAGAACCTTGCCAGATCATCCCACATGGGGTAATGATTACTAAACTTCATGGAATATCTGCTTCCACCATCACGGAATACATCGAAAAAGCAGACGTAATCATGATCCATTTCGTGCTCTGCGGGCACAATAGTTTTCCAACGTCAAAAGTTTCCATTATATTAACGTTAAGTGTCTACCATCGACTGACTGGTGATCCATGTGTGGTGGAAATTTTTAAAATAGGAATGTTTGCATCGTTCTTGTTAAACATCTCTTCAGCAGGAGGAAAAAAATTTTTTTCAGGGTTGCGTAGAGTACAAACCCCTGACTGCTCTCAAAAAAGGGAAAGTCGAAATGCTGACGAACGAAACTTCATGCAAAGCCAGGTGAATGCTATAAAAGACAAAGATATGTAAGTGAACACGTCCAAACCTGGCCTGCTGCGATTTCGAAGATCTTCCAATGTAAAGTGCGTTGGTGAGCGATTGTTACCCCGCATATACACGAGTACTACACGTGATTGATATCAACAATAAGAATGAGATTTCCGCCGAAAAATGGGGACGGATGTTTTCCCTACTAGCTCTTAACCTGGAACCTCTTCTGGAAATTTTCTGTGCATTCGTGCAAGAGATGCTTTTTTTGCAGTTGTGTAGGTAAGGTTCGTCGGAACATCAAATACATAGCATGTCACATTGCATCTTAGTTGGTAGGCTCTACGTTCTTTCCTATGCTTTCAGCTAATAATGGCTCTTTTAGGCGCAAGTGACAGCCACATTCATCTCTGCAAATCGTTGAACAACCCGTGGAATCCCGCCGCTGCTCGTGATGAAGAAGTCATCCTTGAGTAGTATGTGACCCGATAAATTTCTGAAGCCCACGCAAATGAGACACCAGCCCTGATATCTCTCATTGGCGCAGATCAGAGCGCCATATTCGTTCCATTATTTACATGTAGCGCTCTTTCGATGGCACGTTGAATGACGGTGACTGCATGCTAAGCCTCATGCGCCCATTTTGTAAACACAATGTCGCTGAGTAGGCTTAGCTAGCGCATTTGGAGGGATTCTTTTCGTTGAGCGAAGATGAGACTTCGGGAAAAGTTTGTTCTTCATGCTCACCTTGGTAAGGTTGAGCTGCAAACCGTGCCTCCCACATACGGTAATAATACAGCACTCGCTGTGCTATGTACGTTTTCGGCTCGGAGTTGATTTGGCTATACTGAGTGAAATTACGAGGTGTTGTGTCTAAGTTTTCGACGACGTTTCGCGCATAAGCCCTTTTTCAGGTTACTCGATCGTAAATGAAACCACCGACATCCTCACAATGTTGCAGCATTAACACATCGCTGTCACTGATCGCTGTTAGTGCTACTCGCTTACGCTCCGACAAATAATTCTACTATTTCTTCCTTGGGGTCTTTCTTTACAGCTTCTTTGCCTAGATTCGCAGAATGTACCCCAGCTGGAGGCGGCTCATAAGCTCGAGAGTTTCCAGAGGTATATCCTTCTTCATGACCTTGGAAATCTGCTTACGTGACGCCGTTGCATTCAACGAGCAGTTGATGATTTCCTTTGCTGTTGTCGATTGCGGAATTTTCCCAAAGTCCAGAGAGAAAAGTGCAGTAGTTCCAGTTGACAGTTTTGAAGCCTCGCGTCTTGAAGTTTGCGACTCTACTCACATCGGAGTGTGTGATCCCGCGCGTACGAGGGCCTAACCCTATGCAAAACTTTGGAACAACAGCAACCTTATTGGGCAACACCTTCGGTTGACCATAATGTTGTCGATCTTGAGAATATGCGCATTGATGACAATAATGACGACAAGAATGATAGTTACTTCAAAGCGGTAACTATGGTCGGGAGAGTACGGAACAACTAACGGTATTTGCACTGCGCTTCGCGAAACGCTCTGGCACGGACAGATGGAGGACATCAGAATAAGAACACCGAAAGGAGAGAAGGAGCAAAGGACAGGTGAATCGGGTTCTCTGTAGGCAAGTTGTATAGGGCCAGAAATGTGGAATCAGAATGAGTCGAATCCCATAAAATTTGTGTAGTTCTTTCTCAATCAAGGTTGAGTTTTCCCTAATATAATAATAAAGAACATTTGAGGTGTTTGTTCCCAAACAGGGACTTCGATCCATTCGGAGGTGAATTCCAAGAGCTCCCTACGAACCGGACCTTTGAATGCGACCTTGTTGAGACAGAATGCAACAGAAACAACTTTGACCCAAAGGACAGGACCGAACGTTACCTACACATGCAAATCCACGAAAACAGCACGTAAGGACGAATTTCTTTTTGTTTAATGCACGAATATGGGTGTCCATCATATAGAACATTGATGACCTTTGCATTATTACCAGGGAGGAGACAAAACAAAACAGTTCGTTGCCGAACGTTTATGTTGTACTTCTTGATTCAACTTCGTCATTCATGGCCAAGAGGTGAGACTGCTTTTTGATAGATGTTAGGTTAGATGTTAGGGGGATGATTAGTAACATTGAATTTAGAAGAATCTGCTGAACTCAAGGAGTGAACCGCTGCAAAACGGAGGCAGAAGTCATAGAACGGAAATTTGAAAAATCATGGCAGTGTTGAGAAGTGGGCGGCGCTGTCTTAGCGGGCTTTACAGTGGTGTCTAGTATGATCTACCTCAAAACACTTGGTACGATCACACATAGTTTGGGTGTGTGTGACTATCAGCCCCACAGCTGTCGAAGGGCAGCGGTTTCCCCGTCCTGACGTGAGCAGGAATGGAGATACAGGACCGTGAAACACGCTAATTCCTCCATGCTCCGCCTAAAATGTAACCTGCGGCGCAGACTCCCGTTTATGCTAACACCGTTTGCTAACACTCCCGTGGCTTCCCTGGTTTTTCGTCAGGTCCTGTAATTGCGCTTTGGAATACAACTAAAGTGCAATTCCCTGATGCGGATATTATTTTAGGTGCTGCAAAATAAGAAAAGAAGATGATAACGAGGGCTAGAACTCAAGAGCAACTGTGCTGCTTCTGCAGTATCCCTCAGAGGCCGCGCATTCCCACAGAACATGACAATAAAACGGCCTAATCGTTCCAATCGCTAGTTTAATACAAGCAATACGCAATTTCCTGAGCGAATAACATTTGAGGTGTTGCTCATGCTTTGGAGTCCGAATAGAGGGTGATGAAGATGACAAAGGCTAGAAATGAAAAACAACGAATGTAGATGTAATTAAAACAGAGATGAAAAAATTAACGAAACGCGAATTAATTGAAATCATGTAAATCTCTGCAATTCGGCGCGAATTCCGCTCCAAAGCCATAGAAATACTTTAAACTAAGGAGAGGGGCGCTTACGCCGTTTTTATTGTCATGTTCTGTGAGAATGCGCGGCCTCTGAGAGATATTGCAGAAGCAGCACAGTTGCTCTTGAATTCTAGCCCTCATCATCATCCTCGGTTCTTATTTTGCAGCACCTAAAATGTTATCCGCATCAGGAAATTGCGTTTTACTTTTATTCCAAAGCGCAATTACAGGACTTGGCAAAAAGCCAAGAGAACCGCGCGCGACACGCCCCGTGCAGAACGGCTGTTAGCATAAACGGCGGGCGGAGCATGAAGGAATTGGCGTGTTTCACGGTCCTGTATCTCCATTCCTGCGCACATTAGGACGGGGAAACGCTACGCTTCGACAGCTGGGGGCTGATAGTCGCACACACCAAAACTATGTGTGTTCGTACCATCTGTCTTCAAAATTGGTGTAAACAGTGCGTTCAGTCCGGTTCGAAAAATGTATGAAAAATGTATGGGTATTGTGTGAGGAATGAAAAATGAAGCAGTATTATAATCATTAGTTCAAGAAGTGTCTTCAGTTCCAGGACAGCGGAATAACCGAGTTGGCTTCTTGCATTTTATGAGCAATAGATCATGAAATGCAAGATAGAATAGATAAAATAGCATTAGAGCAGAAAAAGTGAAAAGAAGAGAAGCATACCATTGCATGGCTACAGGCTTTACAAACATCAATACCCTTTTCGTGCTGCAGCGATGGTAGCACGAAATGGTAAAAGAAGATCGAGACTGGGAAGGCGGATGTAGGTTATCGTCGCTGAGCCGTGGTGCAAAAATCTAGCGCTTCCAATAGCGGAAGTAAGACATTTATGTTTGAAGACTCCGTCATCCATCTCATACAGACCTCTGCACCTTGGATTGATCGCGGTCGCCGTCTCCAAGGTGCAGAGGGGCGACCAAGTGTTACGGATAGTGCGTGCTAAATTATAAATCGAGACTCGAAAAATGACTGTGGAACAGTGGAATAAAACTCGAATAGAGCAGTTTCCAAATAATGTGAGCACGCGTGGATTACGGTAAGCGTGCAAATCGAGACTCGAAAAATGACTGTGGAACAGTGGAATAAAACTCGAATAGAGCAGTTTCCAAATAATGTGAGCACGCGTGGATTACGGTAAGCGTGCACGACGAACGTTTGGTCACTGTGATTGCATGGTTGACGAATTTGAGCAGCGTTGAATCACGCATCTTGCTTTGAAGTGAAGTGCCTTCGAAGTCTGCTATTGCTTGCTTGTTTCCAGGAAAGTTGTCTAATAGACGGAAAACATCCGTTAGCTCGCGCAAGCTGACATGCTACCACTCTGTGCGATCATGACGTCGCCTTATGTGCAGGCAGCACGCGCGGTAACTAGCTGTGTAAGTCGTTGTTCTGGTGCTCAGGAATATCGAAGCCCATAACCTTTTGTGCTGATCTGGGTGGCGACTACACGAACATTCAGCGGGTCACTTGAGCGCGGTAACTGTCTTCAAAATGGAAATTGTGAAAGATGAAGCTGGTCGCTGATCAAAGCCTTGCCGGCATGCACTCATTCCACATCCATCTGTTATCGCAGTGGCTCAATGAATTTGATGTGATCTATACCATTTTCACTTTAAGTTCACCACTTTTCAAACCAAATCCACCAATTCACCACTTTTCAAAGCAAATTCACCACTTTTCAAGACACATTTATCACTTTTCAAACCAAATTCACCACTCTTTTCAGACCAGGCAATTCGCCAACTAAATCACGCCGGACACCGCCGTGAACCCTGCCCCGACGGTCACGCCTACTTGTCAGCGCGGACATAGATATTCAACACATGAATGACTCCGCCCATTCTTTCAAGTGTTGCGAACTTTAAATCTTCATAACTTTTTCAATTTTTAATTTCACATCCACTCTTCGCACGACGAGGGTACCCGTAGACGCGCATTCATGCACCGACAATTTAGGCTCCTCCCCTTTGGCCACGCCCGCCTGCTATTTGCGGAATTATGATATTTTTTCAAAATTTTTCATTTTTGGACTGCCCCGTGAAGCCCCGCTCTTCATTTGAGGCTCCGCCCACTTCGGATAAGCCCCGTCCACTTTTCAAAAATGGTGCGAATCGGCAGTACAGAGCCTTGGCTTGCGTGCTAGGGTCTCGTCCGTCCCCCGGAACAAATAAATCAGGCAAAGTTTGTTCTTAATGACCAGCAATGCCCTTGCCATGCAAGAATGGCTCTACACTGCCGATTTGCACCATTTTTGAGATGTGGGCGGAGCTTCTTCGAAGTGGGCGAGCCTCACACAGTGGGCGGGGTTTCACGAGGCAGTCCAAAAATGAAAAATTTTGAAAAACCATAATCCCGCAAACAGCAAGTGGGCCGAGGGGGCGGAGCCTAAACTGCCGGTGCATGGATGCGCATCTACGAGTACCTTCGTTGTGCAAAGAGTATATGTGAAATTGAAAATTGAAAGGGTCAGGAAAATTTAAAGTTCGCAACAAACTTTAAAGAATGGACGGAGTCAGTGATGTGTTGAAAATCTGTGTCCGCGCTGACAAGTAGGCGTGACCGTCGGGGCACGGTTTGCGGTAGTGTCTGGCGTGATTTTGTTGGCGAACTGCCTGGTCTAAGAAGAGTGGTGAATTTGGTTTGAAAAGTGGTGAATTTGGCTTGAAGTGGTGAATTTAAAGTGAAAATGGTATATATGGTGACTTGTGCGATGCGATGTATAACCCCGCGTCTTTATCCTCCGAAACGAATGTGGTACCAGTTGTTTTTGGCTGGCCTGAGAGCGCACGCCAACGCCAATTGTGGGAATTACAATGAGTGGCCTGGGGGATCGTTAGCGCACGGCTTATTCGAAAGTAGTGCCGCGGAATGGTCGGGGATAAGTGGTGTTGCCTCCTGACTGTCCCAGATCCCAACTTTGTGTAGTGTTAGAACATTTCGCGACCCGTCCAGGGACTAGCCTTACAAGCCTTAGTTTGGGTCAGTAGCGCTCCCCTGCGGTACGGAGGCCGCTACCCTGAAGAGCCTACTGATCTGGCCTTTAACGCGAAACCTTGACTAATCACCAAGCAACCAGCTGCCAACGTACAGTTCTCATCATTGCGGACCGGTGGGGCGTGCCAGCCGGAAGGAGTGCGCACACTGTTGAAGCCGTTCTCAGCCTTTTTTGTTGCAACGCGTTTGCGACAAGAAGTGGTAGAAAATGAGTAATGCGAAGGATATAATACAGTCATATCATTTGCTCGCTTCAAAAACTGGTGCAGAACAATTTTGCCAAACCGCACCAAAGCAGCCGCACTGCCACGCCCCACCGGTCCGCAATGATGAGGACTGTAGCAAGTGCACACATGCAGCCATATCTATTGTAGCGTTCCCTTGGCATCCGCTCCCATCGTCCCTTCTCCGACTTTTACACAATATACGATAAGTCCCATTTGTTGTCTCTCCTGCTCCTGACGAGACGTTGAGCTACTCTCCTTCCTTACTGCCAGCTTGTGTTGCCGACTATCTATCCCTTAAAGCGAACGGAAGGCCACGGCGATACTGGACTCTGTGCGCTGCCCCCACAGCTCACAGCTGGCCGTAGCTTTGGGTGTCACGGGTGCAAGCCACAATAGGCGCTCTTCCCGGCGCCTCCACCCCTCCTCCTCGCTAACTGGGGACGTGGTCGTCACGCGCTTTTGGCCTCCGAGCACTGCAGAGCTCAAGCACACGGCTGCCCGGCGACGGGTTTCGCATTCCAAGACACGTGGAAAGAGCAGCGAATTCAGATGTTATCCAGTTATTGAATGGTGAAAGATTTATCCATAGTTCTCGCTGTGAAGGACACCTGGAGATAAACTCTAAGACAGAAGCGATTCGCAAGCTCAGAGTATGAGAACGGACGGTGACGAGAAGCACGGTAGCTGCTCACGCCAACTACATGAATTGATAAAGAAACGGCACAGTATACACTCGAAGCTACCTTAAAGACAGCCCCACGCTCAATTAGTACATGGTTGTCCTTTCTTGTGCAAGTAGCACAGCCCCTAAGCTTGAGACTGCCCCACTCTCGCGACTCCTCAGCGAGCGAGGAGCGAGCTATAGACGCTGAAAGTTCTAGTTCCCAGTTAGACCGACTACATGCTAGATGTCCTCTGACGGAGTTGCGCTCAGTTGCTCTTTGTTGGGACGGCGGGCATTAATTGGAAGTGCATGTCCCCTCTGCTGACCGCGTTTGTGCCCATCAATGATTCTGCTCTCCTTTACCACATTTTATTCGTTAGGATCACATACAGTCACCTCCAACCCATCTCGCAAGATAAAACGCGTAAAAATTACGAGCGACCAATTTTCGTGGTGCAAAAGCTCGACGCACTATTCTACACTAAAAGATGCACGCCACCGTAACCCTAAATTCAGGCGCCGAGTTTTTAAGTCTCTTTTCCTTTTCAAAAGTTCTTCTTCCGGTTTTTGTTGTTTTTCTTTTTCTTTCTTTGCATTGGATAATATCCGCTACTGGGAGATAAGATATAGAAATTTGTGAGCCAGGGGTTGCGCAGAGGCCGCAGGGAGGTGTGACTGTCACGGAGCAATTCTGTTTATGGTGTTCTTAAAGACTCTTCTTGTTTTTTGCTTCTTCTTTGGGGAATTGCTTATCAGATGTTCTTTCACAATTGAAAAGCAGCTATCCATGACACTTTTATCGCGGGAGCTGTCTTTAACATAGAAGCACGTGTGTAGCATGGAGAGTTCTCGTGTAGATGTTAGAAGCCCATTAAAGGGGTGACCGATAGTTGCGCTTGTTATTGTTAGGACAGGAGAACCATTGACTAGCAATTCATATTTGCTATACTGATATGGAGTGATTATGAAATAGAGCAATACACGTGAATAACTATTACAATGCTACGAGAATGGGTGAGAGCAATATAGAGAAAATAAGATAACATAACAGGATAACAACAGCACAACTGACCGGCAGGAAGTATGTGACGTGGCAAGCATCGGTTCATTCGGCCGGCGATGAGACAACGAAGGGAGCAACCGCTCGGAAGGATGACTCGTCGGCGACAGTGCCGACTGCCCGGGTCGCGCGGGCTCAGTATAGAGAAGCAAAGTAGCTTCCCGTGCTTCCAGCTTCATCCGTCGTTTGAACTGCTGGCTGCATCGTTTGAACTGATGGCTACGGTAAGATGACGAATGGATCATGATATTGTAAGGCGCATACCACGGACGCTCCCAGGTCGTACGCAAGTCACGACAGATACTGCGCAGAAAGATACGGTATTTCATGTCGATCGAAATCGTCTGCAACAGTTACGGGCTCTTCAACCTGGGCACAGAAAAAAGTGGTGTCGCAAAGGGAAACCTCTCAGGCACTGTTTTTCGACAAGAGGTCACACATGAAGAAAGTTTTATAAAAATGAAAAATGGCTGGTGACACTAAATCTCAACAAGAACGTCACAACGGAAATGTTTCCTCGACCACAACACTGCTTTCCGATTGAGAAGTTCTACTCTCGAAAAAGTTATGAGTTCTAGAACAGCGCACTTCTGGGGTTTCTGGCCCACTTTGCAACATATTGCGAAATAGCGTGCTTCATTGTAATGGCAAAAAGCAATCAAACTTGCTGAAACTTGTAAATGCGCGCGAATGTTGGTTTTTGCTGTGACATTAGAGCACGCACGTATCTCGCGTATATGTTATAGAATAAGTCAGAACCCCAGAAGAATCTTTTTCGAAAATCAGCAGCATTTGCAACCAGGACATGCTGCACATTGCGAACTAGCCAGTTTTATGAGGGGATAGGATTCGATCGATGGGAGAAGAGGGGATCGTACCTGGAATGGCAAGCATTTTTCAGCTCTTGATTTTTTGTGTTTCAAGCACCATATACTTTTCCTCTACCTCCCCACCCCCTACACCCCTCCCCCCCCACACGCACACATACATACACACACACAAATCGGGCGGCGCGTCAATTTTTCGATTTTCTGTCTGTCGACTGAATAGGGCCCGGTGCTTTTTCAGGGTATGGATCGTTTTTAGCATATGCTGAATGCCGCGGCGTGCAGTGCAGTTGCTCATTCGTCACAACTCGAGTGTGCATAATCGCACTCGCTAGGATTGCTCAGAGCAGATGGATCCATTTTTCTTCAAATAGCTTTTCCAAAATAGGCACGAACAGGGAGGAACAACATGAAATCAACATGGGTTCTATTAGCAAGATTCTTGTTTTTGTGTTACACCTTCTGAGAGGATTTCTGCTAAGATCTCCGGGGGTTTCGGTCACAGGTCTTTTGCAGGTCCCTACCAAAGACGTTGGAGTTCCTGAAAAAGGAAATGGGAGGAGTTCAAATGGACTTCCTCAACAAAGTTGCTGACAACAGCAGGCCAAACGGGTTTCCATTGCTTTTTGGTACAGTTTCGGTCTCGAAAACTAAAATGATTACTTCTAAATCCGCACATTTCAGGCAAATCTTTGGAGCAAGTTGGCCGCGTTGGACGACCGCCAGAGGCTCCAGACTGGAACAATACCAAGATTTGCGAAGAGTATCTGGATAAGTATCCATACATTCCGGAGGAGTACAGAAAGAAGGGATATAAGGTTTGTCAGCCAGGAATCTGGCACAATCTCATTTGGAATCTGTTTGAGAAATTCATGATGTGCGATCCTTGTTTTTGATTTTGGGTATATCTCTTTCATGCAGCTTAATACAACCTTGAATAGTTTTCGAGTCGATAGTGCTTTTTGTTCTTCTTTCACTTTTAGAGAGAAGTGATGACCTGCTTTTCGGATAGCCATCAACTCCATGAAGCATTCGAAGAATGCACCCTAGTAAGCTGACGATAGCTCTAGGGTGTAGCCACATCAATGCATAGAACCATCTTCGTTCATGCGAGGAAGACATTCCTTGATACCCCGGATACTGCGATGTCTGAAAGGCTAATCGTATTATCGTTAATGTCTTCTCTCACCAGGGAGGTCGTTCAGGACGTGGCGCGCTTTTTAAAAACGGTTTTTTCTATTATATAGGGCCACGTTTATGGACTACCAAACTGACGTTCATTTTTCCTAAATGGCTCTCTGAATACCGAAAAAGGAGTGAAGAAAATGTGTATGGAAAGCGGTTGGTTTTGAGCCCCTCTGGGCTCCAAATCACTTGCAACTCTGACCAGTTGCTGAGGGTCCATATAAAGGCACTAGGAAAATAGTCGCAAATAGGGTCTTATTTGCGGCACGTGATTGAGAGTGAACGGCTCTGAGTGGCTTGTCGGAATGCTTTCTTCAACAGTCGGAGCGGTGGTGTGCTACAACGATCGGATGGCCTAGTGGATAGCGCGGAGGATTATTAATCGGACAGTGAGGGTGAGTGTCGATGGTTCAACTCCGGCAGGCGTGCGAGTTCTTGCATTTTTTTAGTTTCGCTATCCTCGCTTCCATAAATGACTGTGCATCAGTATAACATGGATATTTGCCATTCATGGGCAAATTCTCAACGGTAGTACCCTGTAAGTCGGTGTTATACTACTATTACAATTTTCTCTTACAACTAAGCTATGCTGCTACTGAAAATTGGTTTTTATCTGTAAGCAAGTGATATGATCATCAACATCGTACTTAATTTTAGCTGTGGTCATTTGTCTCCGATTTGGATCCACATCATTCTACCACTGTATTCATTATGTACACCCATAAAAGGGATGTTTAGCGCTACTCTGCCGTCAAATTGCAACAGCGCCAGAAAAGTGTGAGAATCGTGATCGGACCTATAGACGAAGAATCGCTCAAAAAAATTTTTTTCGACCTTCTTTGGTTAAGGTGGATCATTTGGTCGACGATTATGACCAAAGTCTCATACCTTGCCAGCGGCGATGACGTAACGATGATGTAGCGCGCCGCCGTCCAGCCGTATCGCGAATTCGCTGCATCGGAGGTCCTTCCATGCAGCTATAAGCTTGGATGCATGTGGAATACGTGAACAACCATCGCGGACCTTTCTCGACCCCTAGCGACTACTCACCGACGAAGGTGTCATTTTCCTCTAGCGAAAGAACCAATTCACTCAACTTTCTCCGAAAGTGAAGAAAGAATCGTGTACACAATCCAATACACACACACCCAATAAGGTCGAAAAAAATTTTTTTGGGCGATTCTAGAGTTATAGAGGTTATCAATGGTCCTGATCACGATTCTTACACCATTTCTGGCGCTGACGCAATTTGACGGCAGAGTAGCGCTAAACGTCCCTTTTATGGGTGTACATAACGAATGCAGTGGGAGAATGATGTGGATCCAAATGAGACAAATGGCACCACAGCTAAAATTAAGTACGATGTTAATGATCATATCACTTACTTACACATAAAAACCAATTTTCAGTAGCAGCCCTGCTTAATTGTAAGCGAAAATTTTAATAGTAGTATAACCACGACTTACGGGGTACTACCGTTAAAAATCTGCCCATGAATGGCAAATATCCATGTCATACTGATGCACAGTCATTTATGGAAGCGAGGATAGCGAAACTAAAAAAATGCAAAAACCCGCACGCCTTCAGGAGTCGAACCATCAACACCCACCCTCACTGTCCGATTAATAATCCCCTGCGCTATCCACTAGGCCATCCGGTTGTAGCGGGACTACGCTCCGATTGTTGAAGAAACCATTCCGACAAGCCGCTCAGACCGTTCACTCTCAATCACGTGCCGCAAATAAGACCCCATTTGCGACTATTTTCCTCCTCGATTTCTATAGTGCCTTGGACCCTCTACTCAGCAACTGGTCAAAGTTGCAAGTGATTTGGAGCCCAGAGGGGCACAAAACCAATCGCTTTCCATACACATTTTCTTCACTCCTTTTTTTCGTATTCAGAGAGCCATTTAGGAAAAATGAACGTCAGTTTGGTAGTCCATGAACGTGCCCCTATATAATAGAAAAAACCGCTTTCAAAAAGCGCGCCACGTCCTGAACGACCTGCCTGGTCAGTCTTGCGTTACCACGGGACCTTTGAGAAGCCAACCGACGATGAATTCTGGGTGCCTCACTTCAACAATGCACCCGAATGTCACCCAAAAAGAAAAGCTGCATGCATATACAAAAAGAAACACATATCGGAGAAGTTCTCACTGCATTGTTGGTCGTGATTCAGACTTATGCCGCTGAACACTGGCACGGCGACGTCACCCTAAAATTATTCAAAAGGGCTGGCTCTCTACATCACCACAGGGCGCATCTGTCGTGGGGTAGAGAGCCGCTGGGGAAGGAATGCTGCTCCCACGTTAAATAAGAGGCAAACCAGTTTTCGACTGCCACTTGTGTCATCGCTGTCTCTGCAGTTCTGGAAGACCTGACCAAAGAGTGGACACGAGTCGCTGATACTAATGACGATTCTTCTGCTGGTTGTGAGGATCGTGCTGTGCAAGAATATCCTGTTTGACATTCCGTTCAAACTGGCGCTGAGCTTCTTATTTAAATACCACTAGGAGCGGCCGTAGCATTAGATCCTTCCATAATCCTTTCCCCATATTCGACACTTCGTAAAGTTGGTTTTTTCTTTCCGATGATCCTCCACTCAACAGGTTTCCCATTAGTAGGATCATGAACATGACTCCGTTTGCTAAGCAATGAATGGATGGCTTTGTCGAAAAATCAGGAAAGTTGGCAATCAAAAACCTTAATTCGTCACTTTTATGACGGTTGCTGTTATTTAATTTTTTCATTCATATGTTATTCCATCCTGTGGAGGAATGCCAGCGCTATCCTTCTATTCTATAAACCAGTAACTTTGTGTGTCGGTTTGTATGTTTGTATGTAGGTTTGTATGTATGTTTGTCTGTCCGTCCGCCACAATCACTTCACGGGTTCAAGTTTCGCTGGAGGCGAAAACGACCGCTAGGCAAACCGTTAACCGACTGGGAGATGTAGCAATCCAACGTTTTGATCGCGATAATCGGGCTCCCCCCTTATAAAGACAACCATTCGGTTACACTCCGAGCCATTTGCACGAGCTGCTGGCGTGGCCAGCTGGACGTGTTGCTTCGCGGGGGACAGACCTGGGTGGGGCTCGCAGGAAAGGGGGGGGCACTGGGGCCCCCCCCCCCTCTGTTCCTTCCCTTGCGGTACTCAGCCCGGCCGAGCGATGGGCAAAGAAAGGAAGGCGAGAGGAACCGGTCGATTGGACGACCTGCGGCGTTTTTTTTTAGTGATTATAGTATATGGGCACAGGAATAGTGCGCGTGACAGACTGCTGCCATAAAGGGGTTAGAGTGGAAGGACAACATCACCCATAAACGCGGTACAACAGGCCATCAGTTAGGCGTTTGGTTTTCAGCAAATTGAATATCAAGGGGAAGGTGGAGAATGCGACGGCGGGTGTGGCAAGGAAATGATAACAGCCTGATAGGGCCTGGATAGGAAATCTTCTCTCCT